CTTTACCTCTCTATATATACTGAATATAGATATTCAACACCAGATGGTGGCAACACAAATTAAACAGAATAGAGAGATAATGATGATTGTGTGCCCTGATAAGCAAGTAACTGAACATGATTCACTCTTAAATTAATAATAGTTTAAACAGCACCATCATTGCCTATGAAAATGCGTTACAAACTCAAGTAAGTCATACGGATACATAAAATATATACAATATACAATTAAATAGAGAATAAGCGTTAATTTTCCTAAATGTAAAATTATTTCAGTGTAGACTCTATAGGTTGTAAAGTCTTTAGAGTAAAATACTATAAAATGTTTGGCATTTGATTTAACCTTTGAAAACCTTTTTATTTTCGTGTATCAAGAATTTAATGTTTCACCGCAGTAGGAAAAAACTGTATTAGTGGCTGGAGACTTGTGTGCTCAATAAGCCCATAGGTTTGTGACTTTTTCTGAATTTGAGGTACATGACTAACATTTATGAAGTTGCAACCATAAAGATACCATATCAAAGCACTGCCTATATCGGAGCACTTAAATTCTCCTTTTACCCGCATTAGTGTTATTAGTAACCTAGGATAGTAAAAAGATATTCGTAGTACACTTTAATCAGGGGGTTACATTTCTTGAGGGCTCAGTTACACTGGTCTCAATAAGTCTTCTGACCATTTGCTTTAAGTCATGTTCATAAAACAAAGAACTGATTAAATATAGTAAGGCTGATGTACCAAGGAGAGATGAATAAGGCAAAGCTGTGTTCACTTTGAATACCCAATCCAGTGCATGGAAATAAAAAAATAAAACAATACAGGATTTTGCGTTGAACATGATTGGATGATTGAAGTGAAGTCCTGCAAGCCTTCAGACTCCCTAATAACGTCTCATGTACTTTGTCACAAAAGGGAACATGTCAGCCCTGTTGTGCATTAAAAAAGAACCCTATTGGCTGGATCTCTGATGTAGCTTCCTTCACAATGTACAGTGCATGTAAAACGCGTCAAATAAGCACTGCACCTAAAATGCACTGCAGCTCTCAGAGGTGCCATAATAGCCAAATACACTATAATAAAACAGAAATAATTAAAACAGTCAAGAAGTACATGTGCATGCTTCACACACACAAATGTGATCATACTTGTGATGACATTGAATAACCAGTCATGTGTGAGGGAAACTGAATTTTTGGTAATACATTGTTTGGTGGATTAAAGTGAACACAGCTATAGACCCCATTCACACCAGATGCTCTGGCATCCGTTTTTTAACTGATGCCAACACAAGGACATATGAAAATGAATGGATGTGAATGGGAGCAGTTCACACCAGTGCATTGCATTGATGTGCGCTGCTTCCCACTAAAAAAAAAATAGAGCAGGTTCTACTTTTTTTTAGTACAATGCAACGTACTGTAACGTGTGTTGAACTTTTTTTAACAAAACACAATGGACAACAATGCAAAGCAGAGCCAATACCTTATATAGCTTAGTGTAAAAATAAAATACATGCAATGTAATGTAATGCAACGTATGCCAACTTAATATGCCAACACAAATGAATGCACTTGCATTGAGTCACATTCAATGCACACATTAAGGTGTGAATGCACCCTAAAAGTTATTTACTAAATGCAGTGAACATTCACTTAAGTGAACAGTCTCTACACCTTTAGCAAATCAGCCCCATTAATAAT